AGTGAATTATCTTCAGTAGTTACTAAAATATCGCAGTTTTCGTATTTCTTAAAATTACCGTTATATGGGAGGTAGGCGTGGTTATTGTCCGATTTCGCCCATTTTCAATACCGTCCGTCCTACGCCCAAAAGAAGTTCACGTACCAAGTTTCGTTAAGATATCTCAATTTTTACTCGAGTTATCGTGTGCACAGACGGACGGACGGACATTTGTCTATATCTATCTCGATTCGCTTTGCCTGTTACAAACAACCGTTATGTGAACAAAGTTATAATACCCTTGTGCACAAGTGCGCTCGGGTATAAAAACAGAACTTTTGCAACGATTCTTATGAATAAAAAAGATTTTCTTTACGTTTCAAAGTCAGTTAAAAAATGCGTATAATTTTCGTCTCGAAATTGATATCATAAATTTTGCGTTTCTAGTTCAGCTTTCGTCACTCGAAAATTTTACCTCAAAGAGGTGGTTAATTTGATTTTAATATACGATTAAAACTTTCTGGAGCTAAAAAATTTCTAGATAATTTTGAAAAGAACTAAAGAAAGAGCTAGGAGCTAAAGCCCAATTTTCGGAGCTAAATAGAAAAATAAAGAGCTAAATCTAGCTCCAAAAGTACCAAAATGCAACACTGATCGTAGGTATTGTTTTCGAAACATTTTTCGTACAAAATTTAAAGGGCACATTGCGAGAGTTTTGAGGTTGCCAGAGTCTATCTAGATTAAATTTATTAAGATAAAATTAATTTCAATTAATAATTAATTATAAAACAAGCTAATCGCGAACTGCGCTTTTGTTTCTTTTCACTTTCAGGAGATTTATTGGAGAACTACTGCTGGAATGATGATCTAATGAATTTTTCGCGAGTGCTTTTCTCCGTTTCAATTTTATTGACATTCCCCATAGAGTGCTTTGTTTCTCGAGAGGTTGGTTACTCCAATTTTAATAAACCATTCACCAATACCCAAGCTTTTAACCTTTTAGATTGTACGAGCTTTAATTCATCGCTTTGTATTAAAAGAACCTATCAGCGAGTTGACTTTGGACAAAGACCCCAATCTGGAGAAGGGCGCTGACATCGATGAGTATTCAAGAAACATCACCTTGGCTATAGTTCTCAGTGCATTTATCATTTCACCACTAACAGATTGTTTAGGATCCGTATTGGAATTAAATGTATGTAGCTGCGAAAAGTATTTCTTATTACATGGTGAGCTTGGTTAAGGTTTAACCCTGAAGGCGATGTTAATCACATTTTTCTTCAAATTCCCATTCTGTCATTATAACCAAGTGATTTGAAATAAAAATATTCTATGAAAGGATTCAAAAGACATCTCGATTATCTTCACTTTACGTAAGATAACTTTTCTTAATAATTTGGAAGGGCAACCTTCGCTACTCATCACAAACTATTTATATTCATATACATTTACTTAAAAAAATATAATTGTTATAAGGCCATAAAATAACAAAAACAACCCAGCAAAAAACCGGATTACCACAGAAACGAAAGTGGAAACGAGCTAGGCGATGGGAATCGCTTATCCTTTCGCTTCAAGAAGGCCTTATTTTAACATGGGCATGTCATTGGCGGTAAGCCCTTACCCGCAGCACTACCTTCAAACGAAGAGAGAACGCATGGATAAACAGAATCCAGAGAAGCGAGCAAAGAATGCCTAACAGAGAAACTAACAGAGAAATTTAATGTTATATTAAATTGAAAACAGTAAACGTCTTAAAAGATTAAAACTATGTAATTAATATTTTTATAAATCAGTTTTTATACATACATATGTATGTATGTATGTATTTAGGTACTTAGATTTTACTTAAAAATCGGTATGTACATACATTAGGGCGGGTCAATTTGTATGGATAGATTTTTTTCGACATTGTTCCTAGCATATTCGGATTCTTCATAAAATTATAAGAAAAAAATTCCTCCAGACCATAGCTCTAAAGTCAATTTCGAGCCTGCGCATTTTTAAAAGAAGATATCTTATATATGTATAAAATTGGATTGCTGTCCGTTAGCCTCGCTAAGACTTGAAAACAGCTTGACCGATTTGAATATTTTTATTTTTTTGGTTTGTTTTTTATAATATCCGGATTGTTAAAACCAGAAAAAATAGAGAGTTGCCACCTGTTTAAAAATCCCAATATAAGTAAATTAATTACATAAATTAGATATTGCAATATGGGTGTCAAAAGAAAGAGGTTATGAAGGCTTACAGGCAAAAATATTTTTGAGGGGGGTTGCCACCTGTTTCAAAATTTAGTTAAATAAAATTGATAAGATAAATTAAATATTGCAATATGGGTATCAAATTAAAAGGGTTTAAGAAGGCTTACTACTGAAAATATTTTTGAGTCGAGTTGCCACCAATTTCGAAAATTTAATTCAATTAAGTTAATAAGATAAAGTATGTATTATAATATAGGTGTCGAGCGAAAAGTATTTGAAAAATTATTGATTAAGAAATATTCTCTATAGGCCTGCCACCTACCTGAGCGGTAAAAACTAAAAGCCATACTCGCAAATATTGTTCAAAACTTTTGAGGCTCGCATCAATGTGGAATACTGTAACTCCGTCAAGTTAGTGTTTATTGATGGCAAACAAAGTACTATCATGTTTGGCAATGATATCACCCCATCGAACAATGCACTCAGCCTCGATATAAAAAGAGAACAAAAGCCGAAGTATTAGCCGAAGCAGTTCATACAAATGTTCCACAATTGAACTAACAAAAAAATATGGCCTACGACTCTTTTATAGAAGCTGTGGACACTGGAGTAAAATTTAAACAAAAAAACAAAACCGACTTCAATTCTCATATACAAATTTAAAAGTACCGTTATTTTCTTCATGGCCCAATTATCGGATCTACACTCAATTAGTAGGAGACTACCTCTGAGGAACCACCTTTCCTTTCAAAAAGAATTATAGAAAACGGATAACGTAGTCCAAAGTTACGCGGTAACATACATAAAAACATATTCCGACGAATTGATAAAATATGCAGATTAATATTTAATAAAGTGTTACGGATATATTTTTTTTAATACAAACCTGTGCTTGGGAGCTTATTGATACGAAAAATTAATTTCTGATATCTATTTTTTATTTAAAGAACCGCAAGATTGCACTACAAAGCAAATTACATATTTTTTACTATTGTAACGGGAGAAGTTACTGTATGTATTTTTTTATATGTACAGTGTCGAACAAAAGTTTTGGCACAGTAAATTTTCGCATTACATATATGCAAAATTTTTAATTTATTTCCGATAATTTTTTATAAAAACATAGTTCATACTACACTAAAACACATAAAAATCAAATGTGTAAACTTTGTGAAAAACTCAGGAAAATTCAATAAATCTGCATACTAATTTGCAATTTTATATTCAGATTTTCAAGCAACTTCAAACCTGCACTTTGATAAACTAAAATTGAATGGATTATTAAACTGCATACTTGGAATTTTTCTAAAAAATACTTTGCCTATATTGCGTAAAATTTACTGTGCCAATACTTTTGTTCGTTACTGTAAGTTTAAGGGTTTATTTACCCTTAACTTTAAAAAACCAAAAAAAAATTTACAATATTTTAAAATTATTTTTCGAATCATAAATTTTTTTATGATTAACAATGTATTTATTTTTTTTTTTGGTTTTAGATCCTTTTTGCTTTCAACACGAGGTATCTTTTTTCTAGTTTCTATTGTCATAGCCATAACTCACTCTCTATTTTTATCAATCAATCAATCAATGAATCAATTTTATAATTTTTTTCGGCATTTTTCCTAATTACAAGTAGAGCTTTATAAAACTTTTATAACACCAAATGTTTATCAAGCTTGGGATTTTATGTTATCCGGGCAGGCTTATTAATTTAGCCAGAGAATATGTTTTCTTTATTAAGTTTACCCAGTTACCCATTTTAAACTGCTACCTGTACTGTATCAGCGGTTAAAACTTGGTAAATTTTTATTTAAAATTTTCGGTAAGGAATAAGCGAGTGGATGAAAAATATATAAACCGTAAGAACGGCCCATATATATGTATATCAAAGAATACACACATGCGACGACTCTAGCCATTGTGTGTCACTCCTTTAAATTATAGTTATTTTTTTCTTATTGTATTAAAAAAATAACGTTCGTAACACTTTAGTAAATATTAATCCGTATATTAACTGAGTATATATTAAAGACTAGAAGATGACCCGGTGAACTTCATATCATCTATAATTTATTTGAATTTAATTTTGATCAATTATAACAAATCTTCAAAATGCAATACAATGAGATCACTAATACTGCCTGCTGTTATAGCTGATAAAAGATTCCACACCTATAAGATGTGCCACGCCCCTTTTTACAAACTCATTTATATACATATGTATATCTTTCCATAAGCACCTACCATAGGTATCTGTGCATTTCAAATTTCGAGTTCATGTGACTATAATTCCGAAGTTAGAGCTGATTAAAAATTTTCACTATGGGAGGTATCCCTCATCCCCCTCCCCCCCCTTGGCGAGTTTCAATTTTTTTACCCTATTATAGGTCCAGGAGTCATGGCAATACTTTGGCAAAATTTTATTCGATTCGGTACATCCGTTCAGGCTGCAACCTGGTGCATACACACATACATACTTCCACAAATATATAGTAGATTTGCTTTGAAGCGCCATCTTACGGTCCTTTAAATTAAAAATAGATATCAGAAATTAATTTTTCGTATCACAAAACTCCCGAGCACAACTCTTTATTCCAAAAAAAAAATATTCCTAACACTTTAGTAAATATTAATCTGATTATGGACTTAGTATTAATAAAAATATTTTCTTTTAAAATTGCGCAGGCTCGAAATTGATTTTAGAGCTATGGTCTAAAGGGCTTTTTTTCTTAGAATTTTATGTAGAATACGAATCTGCTAGGAACGATGTCGAAAAAAAAAATTGACCCGCCCTAACATACATGCATATTTAATTAAGCTTAAAAATGCACTTCCTCACTCTTGTACTTCACTTCATTCACTGACTTCAACTTCGCTGCAAATTGCACAAAGCCAAACATGATTTTTATGCGAGACAAATTTCCACAGAAAGTAACGGTAGGAAAAGAATTTTTACATATTCATTATATTCTTCTCCGAAATGAAGCAAAGGAGCGAAAAAAAAAATATTGTACCTGAACGGAAGCAAAGAAGCGAAACAAATAAAATATTGTAGGACATTCTACTTTGCATTCCCCGAAATGAAGCAAATGAGCGAATTAAAAAAGAAATAATATATTACATTCTACTTTGCATAACCCGAAATGAAACAAAGAAGAGAAATAAATAAAATATTGTAGGACATTCTACTTTGCATTCCCCGAAATGAAGCAAATGAGCGAATTAAAAAAGAAATAATATATTACATTCTACTTTGCATAACCCGAAATGAAACAAAGAAGAGAAATAAATAAAATATTGTAGGACATTCTACTTTGCATTACCGGCAATGCCTAAAAGAAGCGAAAAAATTCGAAGGCATTATAACGCTATGCGTTCTAGAACACGTTACCACTAAAAGCGATTACCGATTTTTTGCTGAGAAATAACTTAAGGACGAGCACACCAATAAAAAGTTAAACATTCCTATAATGGAAATATTAACAAAAACCAACAAAACCAACAACCACATGATCAAGTGTGAATTGCAGCGGTATAGCTGCGCTTGATTGTAGTTGGCTTAACAAATGAAATAGTGGAAAAAGCAACAAGAATTCACAAGGCGAACTCAGCAGAATGCGTTGGCAACTGGCAGAAGTCTGTTGAGAAAATGTGGTGATTTCCGAAATAGCTATCACTTCTAAAATTTTTTCAAATTATTGTTGCTCTTCCACAATAAATTTTTCATTAAAAACGGCCTCAAGCTCAATAAAAATTGTTGAATATATTTGTTTTAACTTCAAAATTTGCAAAAGCCGCCAAACACTACCACCCCTATTCTACAACTGTTTCGTATTCGGATTTTGTTACGAATCGTATGTTCGAACTTTCGACATTCGTAACAATGGCATACCTAAAAATGAACCAGCAAGAAATTGACAGCTTTTTTGCGTAATTTTTCACAAAAACTATTCTGTGTCGGAAGCGAAATAAAAGATTTAAATCGATATGT